TTGGGGAAGCACTGGCTTTGACTTTGAAAGTAGAAAATTTTTCACCAGGGATATGAAATTTCTTTCCTAAGAGTCTAGGCTTATTTAAGTAATAAAAGATTTTTTTTCATAGCTTATTGAGCAGGCCATGTAGCATTTAAATATTTGAGTGACATTTTGTTTCCAGATATAACTGAAATTCAGAATTATGACAAGCAAAATATTTCAAAATATGGTACACACTTCCACCGCCCCCACTGCCATCTCTAAGCAAACCCTTCAATGTTTTTTAAAATTTTTATTTTCAAGGTTGAATTTCAGAATTAATTAGATGGGAATTTTTGTCAGTTTGCCAAATACTTTAAACTTCTAAATAAATTAACTTAAGCTATTAATTTTTCACTAATTTTGTTTTGTTAATTGAACTAGTCATTTTTAAAGCTTAAACTAATTTAGATTGTTAGCTAGAATATAGATTGTACTTTTCTCAGCTTGTAAGCATTTTCACTTATTTAAGGAAAAATAAAAGTTTAGAGAAAGAAAAGGTACACATTTGGATGTAATTTAAACCTCATTTTGATGACTGTTGACCTAGTGACTATAGATTCTGTTCCAGTATTGTTTTCAATAATGTGTTGCTATGGTAGCTAATATAAATGCATGCTTCAAGGGGGAAAAAAAAAACCAACCTCGCCAACAATTGTGTTGTATATTAGGATGAAATTTTGCTTTATTAGCTTTTATGACTTCCTCTGGACTTTGCAAAATTGTTTTTCCCAAAGAAATATTCTGAGAAGCCTATTACATATACTACTTTGCCTTCTTATCTCATCTTCTGTATCTTATATTGATTATATGCTATAATTTAAAAGGGAAAGATATAAGAACAGTTTATCAGAACATCTATAATCTTTATGCTATTTTTGCCTTAAATAGCATGCTGAAGGAAAGTTTTCTGCCTCCTGCTGCTAAACTGTAGAAGTGAAATCTTGTTCCTATAAAAGTCATAGCTTATATGCAGTGTCTTCTCTTCATTAAAGTGAATATTGTGGTAAACATATTTGTCTGCATCCTTAAATATTATTGGCATAAGTATTGCATGGAATGGTGGTTGAAATACATTAAAATTTATCTACTATATTGCAGATTTTGTAATAATAAAACCTGGGAGTGGCCTGAATGTCATAATATGGTCTTAAGAGATAATTAGTTGATAAAGTACATCATATATAATGTAAGCCAGTAGAAAAAGTCAAGATTTGTATTTGATGTAAAATGATGTCTTTAGCTATTAAGACAGTAAAGTATGTTCCAAAGCTGTGGATACTATAATTTTTTTTTTAAAGATTTATTTATTTGTGCATATAGAACTAGGGTACAGGCCAGAGGCTCAGGGGTGGCGAGAGGATTCACCAGAGACAGAATGGGGAGCAGAACAGGCAGATCAACGAAGTACACTGCTGAGGGGAGCAGCGGGCGGGTCAGCAGAGGTCTGCCACGCCATGTGGTCACTTCCGGGGCAGGCAGGGATCGAACTCATGCGGAAGTGGCTTTAGCTTCTCAGTGCTGTGCTTTAACCCACTGCGCCACCAGGGAGGGCCGGATACTATAATTTTTATTGCAAAAGTATGAGTGTATGTAAGTATAAATGTGTGGAAGATGATAGGACAAATATCAGTAGTTATCCCTAGGTGTTAAGATAGGATGTTAGTAATAGTATTGTTTCTGTTAAAACATTTTTTTTTAAGATTTATTTATTTATTCATACAGAACTGGGGTACAGGCCAGAGGCTCAGGGGCGGTGAGAGGCTTCACCAGAGAC